CCTGCAAAAGATCACCCCTCGTATCTGTGACCTTATTTGGAAGCAGGGCCTGTGCAGAGACAGATACCCCTGGACTTACAATGGGGTTACAACCTGATAAACCCATTGTAAAGGTGAAAATCCCAAGTTGAACCACCTTAAGCCAGGGCCATCTTATGACCAGGTTAAGATGAGGTCATACTGGGTTAGAACGGACCCTAAATCCAATGACTCGGTTCTTGTAAGAGGAGAGAGAGGCCCAGACACAGGGAGGAGCTCACATGATGATGGAGGCAAGGACTGGAGTGACAGGTACCCCTCCAGGATCGCTGAGCACCCGAGGCCAGGGTGAGGCCTGGGGCAGGTTCCCTCAGCACCTCCAGAGGCCCAGCCCTATGACACCTCGGGGTCTCCGACTCCACCCTCCAGAACTGAGACAAGTGTCTGTTGTTTAAATCACCCACTGTGTGGTACTTTGTTACAAGAGGCCGAATACACTATCTTAGTGATAAAAATTTAAGGTATACTTAGTTTTGTTTTAAAAAGCCACATGAAAGCAAAACGCTGGGCTAGCCGAGATTCAGAACACTGACCTGCCGGGCAAGAGGCTGGGAGGAAAAGTTATCTTAGGGCCCAATCACGTATGCTTTGTTGTCTCAATTACAAAATCCCCCCCTTTTTATCTGAGACACGGTTTCACTCTGTCGCCCAGGCTGGAGTGCAAGGGCGCACACAGAAGCGTGGTGTTCAGGCAGGCACAGAACGCAGGCAGAACACAGGCAGGCACACAACACAGGCACAAGCAGGCACAGAACACAGGCACACAACACAGGCACACAACACAGGCACAGGCAGGCACAGAAGTGTGGTGTTCCCCCCCCACACACACACACACAGGCAGGCACAGAAGTGCGCTGCTTCCAACACACAGCCAGGCACAGAAGCGTGGTGCTCCCAACACACACACAGGCAGGCACAGAAGCGTGGTGCTCCCAACACACACACAGGCCGGCACAGAAGCGTGGTGCTCCCGGCACACACAGCTGGGCACAGAAGCGTGGTGCTCCCGGCACACACAGCTGGGCACAGAAGCGCGGCGCTCCTGACACACAGGCAGCCTCACAGCCCCACCTTGCCACAGACGTGGTGTCCAGGGTCACCCCTTAACTTCTGAGCTGGTGGTGCTGATGCCTCCCCCTACAGATGGCAAACCAATGCCCTAGTGGTACCCTCCATGTGCCGAATGGTTCTGAGTCATGCATAGGGACTCAAAACTCACCACAAGCCTATGGTTATTATTCCCTAATTTGAGAGGAGAAGACTCGGGCATGGAAATGTTGACTTCACCGCCCAAGGGAGTGGTGGGGCTTGGCAGCACTCAGACCCAGAGGACAGCCTCTATTCCCAGGACACTGAGTGCATCAGTCTACTGCTCTCTTTTTATAGAAACTTAGAAGCAAACAGTACAACCAACGCAAGCACATTCTTAGTATGAACAAGGCAAACATCACAGTTCAAAGGGAAAGTGCCTGTTTCTGCGCCAATCCTGTGCCCCACAGATAACCACTATGGAGATTTTTATATGTCAAAGTTTATACTCTAAGATATGCAGTTAAGTATAAAATATGTATGTATAGCAATACATGGATTTTTTTAAAGAAAAGCAGAATCAAGATGCTTCTTCTATGTTGGCAGAGAAGTTGAGTGTTGGGAGAAGCTGTGTTCCGAGAAGCCGAGTGTTGGGAGAAGCTGAGGCAGGGCTTCCATATCTGACATAACGTAAGAGTCTTGGAACATGTCTGGGGTCCAGGGTCTGAAACTCCTCGTGGCCTTTGGAACACCAAGCTCTGTGCTAAAGGGTGGAAGGCTACCCTGATGCGCCATTATCTAAGCCCAGGGCATAGACCTCCCTGTCCACTGTGAGTGTCGGGGCTCCGATAGTCCTCCCTGTCTACTTGTTGGGGCTGGGATAGGCCTCCTTGTCCACCTGTGAGTTCCATGCACTGCAAGATGATGCTATGCCAAAACTGCTCCATGAGGCTTCACACAGGGGCATTGTATTTCATTCACTGCTAGGCTCTACAATGACATTTATGACCCCAGGAAGGACTGAGACTTAAATAGAATAGGGGCTAGGTGATACAAACAGCCGCTGTAATCAGAACATACCAAGACCAGGCCATAAGGAAGGAAGGAGAAGCCCCCTGCCACAGCCTTTTACCAAGTCGCTGACATCTCTGTCAAACATGGATAAAAAGACCCTTTTTCCTCCTAAGTCTAAAGCAACATACCGGCCCATTTGACAGTAATTCTGTTGTACATTTAACTTCATCTTGGTCTTCTAAGTGACTGTTCATGGTCTTAACACCTGTACAAGAATTTCTCAGTTGCTGAACCACTGTTAGTTATTCAGCAGATAAAATGGCAGCAGGTTGTACCCCAGGAAGAAACACACCCAGTCACGGGCACGGAAGGGGACATCGGCACAAACCTTTTACCAGAAAAAAACGCATCTCTGCTTTAGGACGTACCATCGCCGGTCTCCATGAGCTCGGCGTTGCCGTACTTGTGCGCTGTCCGGGACCCCGTGGAACCCTGTGGTCTCTCCATCTGTATCGAGAGCTCTGAGGTGCACGTGGTTACGTCAGGAGGTGCAGAATGATTTTCTGTAAAGAAGCACATCGTGAATGTTTCTGGTGGTTGTGGCGTTTGCTCTGCACGTTGAGCAAGCCATAGCTCAGGAGGGGATCGGAGCGTGGGCGCTCACCCTGGGGGTACTGTGAGAAGCCAAAGCCGATCTCAGCCATGTCTGCCATTTTCTTTACAAAAGGGGGAGACATCAAGAACTACTATTATTTGTCTTAGTACAAACAATACTAGTCATTCAAAAGACCACCTTTACACCCTAATGTGTACTAAGGACTGCCTAAGGCCAATGAGCGCATGGAACTCTTTCTCTTACAGCACCCCGTGGAGAGAAAGTCAAGCCGTAAGCGGCTAAATGGGGAAAAGCATGCTTTGTTGTTAATGAATAAAACGTTGAGGAAGATGCTCCAAGCAGCCCACTGACGACGCCCGTCACACCTAGAATCTTGAGGTTGGGCGCCACAGTGCGGATCTGGATTCTGAATCCTCCTTTGACAGAAGCTTTTCAGGGTCACCCGCCACCGTCCCACGCGACAGAAGCCACAGAAGCCACAGAAGCGTGATATTCTGTGCTGCTGAAAGTGGTGCTCATCCTCAAAAGCCTTTCTTCACCGCACACTGCCCGTGTCAGCCCCGCACCCGGAGGCCATTTAGACGGCGAAGTCAACTGAACGCACAAAAACAGCACACAGAAAATCGAGGCACAACAGAGGCCGTGAAACGATGCTCCTTTATGATCCGAGAACCGGGCGGGGTGGGGGTCCTGAGCCGCCTGGGCACTGTGTCAGCCCCTCCTGAGGGTGTCAGTCTGGCGTCACAAGTCGATTTGGCAACGCCACTCACTTGGAACCCGTGACTGAGAAGAGAAGAATGATTGGCTCTCACTAAGGGGAGGGTCCGCCACACCGTCCGTCAGTGCCACGACTTTCCACCTGGAGGCAGGCCGCCCGACTTCCTGCAGAACCAACCCTCCATCCTCAGCGGACTTGGATGGTAGCGTCTCGGAGGCCTCCTCTCAGCTCTGAGGTGTGAAAGCGCTGCAGACAGCTTCTAGATGGACAGCGGGTAAAGCAGTAGAAAAAGAAAACTAGAATGCGATTTCCTATCTTATGCCAAACTGGCTTGACTGTGAAGATACATGTGAGATGTGCCTACTTAACTCCTGGCATAAATTGGTGGAAAAAAATCCACAAAGGACTTGAGATTTCGCTTAAACAACAAGTAGAAGCGCAGCCAGCTCTGTGAGACTGGGTGACCTGGAGCCTGCAGCCCTGGGCTTTTCTCCCCTCCGACGAAAGCAGCCTCTGTGGCCTCCCCTTCCGTCCCTTAGAGGGGTTGGTCAGTGTGACTATGTTGTGCCTGGACTCCTTAGAACTCTCACGCGCATGCGCACACACGATCACACATGCTAAGTTCTCGTTCACAGGCTTCTGATGATCTCAGAAGGTCACATGCACATCTGACTTTTTACTTCTCTTGTTTTGCCACAGAAAATATTTCTCCTCTTCAAGTTTTATTGTTTTGCCACGGCTTTTCCAAAAAAATCCCAAACTTATAGAAAATGTCCAGAGAGTCTACGAGGATTACCTTTGTGCCCAATTAGAAATTACCGGAATGTGATCACCTGAGAGTTACATTTGGGTCACACTGAGCCCTGATGTACATGAGTTAGGAGGCCCTCACAGTTTGGATAAATTAATTCTTTGTACTAAAACTTCCTCCAGTATTGCAAGGGTAAACCCACAAAGGGAGGCCCAAGTGCAGTGATTCATTTGTTCAAAAATATGTGTTTTCCGGGTAAGATTCTGTGCATTTCCTTAAAATTGAATAAAATCCGAGGATACAAATGCTTCCACCAAGTGGCAGAGGTGGTGTCTGGCCTCCCTGTTCAGGTCTGGCAGAGCCTCGGCCACTATCCTGCGATCCAATATACACATGGAATTTTATTATGGAAAAATATGTAACAGTCACACATTTCTGTTCAATGTTTAACCTACTGTGATTTCAAGTATGGGTTAACTCACATAAATGAGTGTACGTGTTCCTGAAACTGTGTCAAACTGAAGTTTAATGCTGCTTTGCATTTGAGTACTACTTTGCAAACTTTTAAAGAGTATTTCTGTTTTCTCCTTTATACTGACAACAGTTGAGAGAAAAAAATTATTTTTTTCAATTTTTTTTCCCTCACTCAAAGCCTAAAGCAGGAGAAGGGACTTCCAGAACCCAGCAGCAGTTATTGGGAAAAGTGAGACAGACCCAGCTCTCCTGACAGCAAACTCCTGTTCCAGACAGAAAACAGCTGACGCTTTCAGTGTCAGTGAGCACTGAAGGGGCTGGGACCCAAGTCAGTCCGAAATGCCTCTGGGTATCAAGGAGTCAGTGATCTAGAAGTGAACATTCTGGGGTTCTGGGGTGTCTGTGGGCTATCTGATCACACGTGACGTCCACCTGCTTCCCACTGAGGGTTTTGCAGAGATCAGGCTTTCCTGTGGTAGCTGATGCCGGGAGGGTCTGAGCCTGTGGCTTGTGCTCCGTTATCGGCAACATGGTACACAGTCGTCTCGGATTACTGCTTTAATAGAGACACACACCAAATCCTATTCAACCCAAGCCCCATACTTGATGGAAAACATATAGTCCTGAACCATTCAAAGGCAGAACGACAGAAGGCTCATCACCGCTCCCCCACGCGCTGGCTCTACCTCTAGTAATTCTCACTTCACTCCTTTTCCATGGCATCTTCAAACGTTGTAGGGCAGTGATCCTAACTTCGTTCTTTTTCTAACACAGAGGATCTCCCTTGTCATAGAACCTACACAAAACAGTGCGCCACGCCCAAGAAATCTGAACACCTGTGGCAGACAGCAGCGTAAAGCAGCCGTGGTTAAAGCCCTCATTTCCATAAATGACTCCCGTGGTCAGGAGGAGCACACTTTAAAACCCTGTCCTGTTGACTGTGACTGTTAAGGTTTCACAAAGGAGCATAAGTGAGAAGAAAAGATGGGAGCAGATATGGCTACAGGATTCCCCAGTAGCAAGGCCCCTGGAATTCCAGCTGTGGGAGGGACCTGGGCATGAGAAGCAGTAAAGGAGCTTCCAGAAACAATCCAACCAAAGCACCCCAGGGGCCAGAGGGGCTCTGCGCTCTTTCCACCAAGGGATTCCACAGCCATGATGCAAACAGAGGAAAACCTGCACCCACAAAGGCATTTAGACAACAGGCACAGAAAGACACTGTGAAGCGTGCTCACCTATGTGGGTCTGGGCCATGACCTCCGCCAGCTTGTGGGCAGTCCCGCTGCCCCTGCTCTGCGTGGAGGACGAGGAGGTGGAGGAGGTGGTGGACGTGGTGGAGCCATGGATGGCCTGACTGATCCAGTGCTCCATGTTGATGCAACCCGGGCTGGAGGTCGGGGTGCCTTGGGAGTCCCCCTGCACTGAGCCTTCGTCTTCTGAGCCAGAAGAGGTATCTGTGTAAGAAGAAAGGCAATTTGCTATATATTGCAGCAGAAGCATGCACCACAATCTCAGTCCCTCAAACACAGATTTACTTCATGCAAGTCTGAACAGTTGTTCAATGACTTTTTGCTGTAGACACTGTTGAGAATTTAAACCACTTTTCAGACAATGAACCATTTACTTTAGCATAATGAATTTTGCTTCCAAAACACCTTAAACAAACATGCTATCAGATGATTGATACTGTCATCTCGAAGATGCACTGACACATTTCCTCTACATAGTAGTTTGGGAAGAAACCAAGTGTTTTCTTGTGTCGGCCAGATAGTGAGAGGGCAAGGGGAGGCGGAGGGCCTGTGTGGCTCTCAGGAGTCTCAGTGTGACTATGTTTACCCCTTGTTAGTCCTGAGATGCTCTTCTGGGCTCTGATTTATTTCTACATTGGTGTATGTGTTAGATACTCATGCAGGTGATTTCTCCGTCTGTGTGTTAGTTACCCATACAGCTGATTTATTTGTATGTCGGTGTGTTAGATACCCATGCGGCTGATTTATTTCTACATCGGTGTGTTAGATACCCGTGCAGCTGATTTATTTCTACATTGGTGTGTTAGATACCCGTGCAGCTGATTTATTTCTACATCGGTGTGTTAGATGCCCATGCGGCTGATTTATTTCTACATCGGTGTGTTAGATGCCCATGCAGCTGATTTATTTCTACATCAGTGTGTTAGATACCCATGCAAGTGATTTCTGCGTGAGTGTGTTCGATACCCATGAGGGTCATGGATTTCTATGTCAGTGTGTTCGATACGAATGCGGCTCTCTAAGGATCAAGACGCTGATGATGGTAACAGGAGAGAAAGCAGAATGTGCCTCACATGGAGCGGCCTCTCCACCTCCCCGTTTTCCTCTGGGGCACACGACAAACCCTCATGTCACATTTTACACTCTCATCTACTCACTTTTACAGAATTCGTTTCTTATACATTCTCATTATTGATTTTTCTATCTACAAATTGGGTATCTTGGATTATGATAAAATACATCCCTTTTTTCACTCTAATTCAGGAGAACATTTTTCATTTCATAACTTTTCATGCAGTACCAAGGTTTTTGGGAATAAATTGCTGGTGTATTCGTTAAACTTCAATGTAAGAATGACACTCAGAATCCTACCTACAGGTGAGTGATGGGAGGTGCTGGCTCAGGTGAGCAGCTCCAGATCATTGGATGAGAGGAGGAGTCACAGCAAATAATCTTAAGACACAGGTTTGCTTCTTAAAAGACACTAATAGCAAACAATATTCACACTTATTACCACTGTCACATGACTTATGCTGTCTGGGAATTTTTTTAAAAGTTTACTTGTTAGACATGCAACAATATTAGGAGCCTGAAAATTCTCTATCACCTTGCCTTTTTTCTTTTGAGACAGAGTCTTGCTCTGTTGCCCAGGGTGGAGTGCAGTGGCATGATCTCAGCTCCCGGTAACCTCTCACTCCCAGGCTCAAGCGATTCTCCTGCCTCAGCCTCCCAAGTAGCTGAGATTACAGGCACGTGCCACCATGCCTGGCTCATTTTTGTATATCTAGCAAAAACAGGGTTTCACCATGTTGGCCAGGCTGGTCTCAATCTCCTGACCTCGTGACCTCGTGACCCGCCTGCCTCGGCCTCCCAAACCGCTGGGATTACAGGCGTGAGCCACTGCGCCTGGCCCACCCTGCCTTTTAAGAAAACTTACACAATTTGTATCAAAGTAAAAGTAAAACTGACACAGCCTTGAGACTTTTGAGAAAGGTACACAACCAGGTGTCCATATGGAGCACAACCATCTCCCCAGAACGTCTTCTCACAACCCTTTCCAATCTTTCATTCCTCACTCCCACCTACCTTTTCCAAGAAACCTGCAGAATAATGGGATATAGACACTCGACAGAATAACAGCAAACCAAGCAAGCAGCAAATGAAATGCAAGCAGCATGACCAGTGATGACTAGAATTACACAGCATGGGGACAGGAAGTCAAGTTGATTTAACATTCAAAAGTGAATTAATGTCATAGACAATATAGAATTACGGAGTAGAACCGCAAGTTAGCCTTAAGAGACATAGAAAAGTACTGACAAATTCAAGAGAATGAAACTCAACAAACCAGGAATGGAAGGCAATTTCCTCAACCTGTTAAAGTACATTTGTGAAAAGCCACAGCTAACGTTGTATTCAATGGTAAACAATAGAATGCATTTTCCCTAAGGTGGAGAACAAGACAAAGATATCCCCTCTTGCCACTATTATTCAACATTATCTGGCAGGTTCTAGCTGGTAAAATAAATTAACAAATTTAGTAGTAAAGACATTCCGATTAGAAAGGAATAAAAGTGTCTTTATTCATAGATGACATGACCTTGGGATGTAGAAAATGGCAAGAAATACACCAAAAATGTTTGCATTACTAAAACAAAGTTTGATGAGGTCACAGGACACAAGATAAAGATATACATACACTAGCAATAAACAACCTGAAAAGAAAATTAAGAAAATCGTTCCATTCACAATAGCATCAAAAGCATGAAACACTCAGCTGAACTTCTAACAAAAAGGTGCAAAATGTGCACAATGACAACTATAAAACATTACTGAGAGAAATTAAAGATCCAAATAAATGGAAACTAAATAAATGGAGGCAGATTCATGATCGTGAATTGGAAAACTCAGCATTATCAAGACAATTCTTCCTATACTGCTCCATTAATTCAAGGCACTGCCTAATAAAATCCCAGAAGGCTGTGTGTGAAATGGAAAACTTATTCTCAATTTTATCTGGAAATACAAAGGACCTACAATAGCCAAAATAATTTTGAAAAAGGAAAACAAAGTTGGAGGACTTCACTATCTGATTTCAAAACTTTACATAAAGTCATGGTTATCAAGGCAGTGGTATTAGCACAAAAATAGACACATACATCAAAGGAACAGAATTAAACTCAGAAATAAAGCCTTATATTTATGGTTAATTTATTTTTGACAAAGGTCTCAAGACAATTCAGTAACAGAAAGGTAGTTTGTTTTTTCAACAAACGTTGCAGTGGCAACTGGGTACCCACACACCAAAAAGAAAAAGCGTGGGGAAAAAAGTCCCCCAAACCAAACCAAAACAAATAAAAATCCCACTTAGATCCCTACTGCACACACAAAAATTAACTCCAAATGGATCACAGACCTAAATGAAAGAACAGTAAGACCATGAGACTTCTAAAACTTCCAATAACACAATCCATAAAAATTAGTAAAATGGACTTCATTAAAATAGAAAACTATTAAGTTTTAAAAGATGATTATCTCCCTATAGCTAATGTAACAAATTACCTTGATCTTAGGGGCTTATAACAAGACACAAATCTATTATCCTACTGATGGAGAAGTCAGAAGTGTAAAATCTTAGTGTCAGCAGAACTACGTTCCTACTGGAGGCGTCAAAGGAGAATCCATTTCTTTACCTTTCCCAACCTCTAGAGGCCACCTGTGTCCCTGACTCTTGGCCCCTCTTCATCTTTAAAGGGCATCACTCCAGTCTCCAGATCTTTTCTCTTGTGAGAACCTTCTTGCTTACAGTGGGTCTACCTACTTAAACCAGGATAATGGTCCCATCTCAAGATCTTAAATTAATCGAATTAATTAGCTGCAAAATCCCTTTTGCCACTTCAGGCAACAGGTTCATAAGTTCTGTGGAATAGGACCTGGGTACCTTGGGGGAAAGGCTTTGTTCTGTCTGCTACATAATAGTTTGTTCTTTCACTGAGAAATGTTACATCTGTAAAAGTCTCATATTCAGATTGTATAAGGCACCTAAAACCCATAAGACGACAACCAACCCATTTAAAACGTGAGCAAACATCTGAACATTTTACCAATATATACAAATGGCTATGAATAGGAATTAGCACATTAAAAGCTAATCAGCACATTAAAAATGCTTAGCATCATTCATTGTTGCAAAGTAAATACACAATGATATACCATTTCACATCAATTAGACTGGCAAAAATCAAAACATCAGCAATAACTATTGGTGGTGATGATGTGGAGAAACTGGGATGCACATATGCTGCTGGTGGAAGCGTGAAATGGTGCAGCTATTTTGTAAACAATTTGGCAGTTTTTAAAAAGCTAAACCTAAACTTACAATAAGAGTCAATCATGCTACTTGGCATCCACTTAAGATAAAGGAAATTTTATGCATACACAAAGATATGTACATAAATGTCGACAGCAGCTGAATACTGGAAACAATGAATAACCAACTGGTAAATGAATAAACAGAATGTATCATATCTATCAAATAGATTATAAATAAATAATAAGGAATAAACTACCGATGCATGGTACAGCAAGGACTTCAAAACAGGTAAAGGAGGCATAGAGAAACATGTACAATTTATGATTTTATATCATAAAATTGTAAGATCATTAAAAAAGAAAAGCCATAAAATCATAGAGTAAAATATTCTATGATTTTATATCCTACAAAATTTAGAGCGCACTGTTATGATTTCTAGGGTTCTTTTTCGTAGAGCTAACCTTTCATCTGATATCCTTTGCAATCAGCCAAGTACATTCTTTAGCACGTTTATAGTGTAGTTATGCTGATAACACATTCTCTCAGCTTTCATGTTTGGGAATGTGTTGTTTCACCCCTGTTTATAAAGGAGATTTTCCCTGGATATGAGTTGACAGGCCTTTCTCCTGCTTTTAGTGCTTTAAAAAATGTCTTTCCATGGTCTTCTGGTCTCCACTGTATCTTCACAGAAGTCACGCGTTGTTCAAATGCTTCTCTGGTGTGTAACGTGTCTTTTTCTTCTGAGTCCTTCCGGGATCTCCTCTTAATCTTGGGATTTCAGTACTTTGGCTATCATGAATGTGGATGTGATTCTTGTTATACTTGTTCTGCTTGGAATTCACTGAACTTCTCGGGGCTGGACACAGGTGGTTCGACATCAATCTGAGAAAAT